AACAGGGCGCAACCGCCCCTTCCGCCGCCGCCCTTGCCCGGTGAGGCGACGCCGCCGCACGCCACAAGGAGCCCAGGACCAGCACGTCGGCGCCTCCCAGTACGACCGCGCGAGCACTGCTGCAGCGCTGCTGCAAGCTGGTCCAGCGACCCCCGCCGTCCAGGGGACGCCATCGCCGCCGCCTGGTCTCAAAATTCCAGGTACTCCAGCCGTCCTCCGGTTGCCTCCCTCCTCTCAGAACTCCAGGCAGGACGACCAGCCGACTAGGACAATGCCTCCCTCCGCTCCTGACCAGGACGCTGGTAATAGAAGCATCTTTATGTCATACTTCAACTTGTGAAGATTGTGAACTACTAGAATTAGAAATATTAGGGAAAGGAACTAGAAATTATTAGTGTATATGATAAATGATGCCGTTGTTCACATTGTCTTGATTGTCCGATTGCAGCTGTTGTTTGCTAGTTGCGTATATCTGGATCTTGTGCTTGCTAATTGATAGTATATTTGTAGTTGCTGGTTGCTTTGTATTTTATTACAATTTGTTTATCTATTGATTGGAGTGTCTATTAGTAATATGGCTTAAAAAACTGGACATCGAACCGGCTTCTCCAATGTCTTGAGACCGAGCTAGATCAGGTTTCAGAGTGGCAGCTTCATGGCTTGCTGATGTGCTTCTTTTTTAAGTTCTAAATAGGACCCTTGTAGAAGTAAACTAGTACTACTAGACCATCCGACCCATCAATGTCTGTTGTTGTAATAAAGACCAAACCAAGTCTGTTTAAGGAATTATAGGAAGACATGTTCATGTTAGTTTTGTCCCTTGTCACTCAGCGCATTAACTACATTTCCTTTTGTTACAGTGTATCAATGGATTTAGAATCTATAAAGGAGCTATTGCTTTCTCCTAGACCAAGTGAGGAATAGTTGGCTGGTGTTGCTGGTTTTCTTGACTTTGCGTACATCGGGAAAAGTTCTGATGCCAAGATCTGTTGCCCATGCGTCATATGTGTCAATGGATCGTTACAGAAGCGGGAGGACGTGTACGATCACTTGGTTTGTAGCGGATTTTCACCTGGATATACTGTTTGGGGTTGCCATGGGGAAACAGCATCATTCATCTCTGCTAATAAACAAGGTGAAACTCCAACACACATGAGGAGTAACAAAAGGTCACGATCACAGTTTGAAGGAACAAAATCTAATATGCGTCAGTTAGTGGAAGATGTTTTCTGTGGACCTCCAACGATAGAACCCGAAGCCCAAAATACGTCTAAACCAGGACCAGACCCTGAATCACAAGCTTTCTATGACCTTTTGAGAGATGCAGATCAACCTTTATGGCCAGGCTGTGAACTATCCATCCTTTCTCTTGTTATTCTCTTCCACAT